AAGTACTGGTTGCTGCCTGAAGGGAAATATAGCAGCAGGCAGTCCGTCATCTCCTATATTCCAATAAACACTGTTTTTCCAGACATTTAGTAGAAGAAACATATAGAAATGCATTACGCTTCACTCAAAAGCTGATTATTGAGAAAAACAAAATAGAATAAAACAAAGCAGCTTGTACACTGCTTCAGCTGTATATATACAGCACTTTTCCTTCCTGAGAAATGCAAAGGAGTTATTTTGAAAACTCAAAGATTTTAACAAATGCTATAGGCATATAGGAAGTAAAAAGGGTAAGTAACAGAGATGAAAGCTTGCAAGTGCTTCCACGTGTGCTGAAAGTTTAATTTCTGGTGTTTTGGTTGGAAATTTGCAAGGAGTAAGCCTTAGTATTGGCCAACCAAGGCAATATCAGAGATAAAAGGTCTGTTAGCTAAAGTATCCAAAACTTAGCTTCAATACCAAGGTCATCAAAGCTTTGTAATTTCCAAGCAAGAATGTCTGCTTCATGTCTGTTTTGAGTTGTGATGTAGGTTGTCCTGGCAAACAGTTCAAGCAACCAGTCTCATTATAAAATAAAGCTACTACAAGAGTTAATTCGCTCATTTACAGGACCTGCAAGGGGATTGTGAGGTACCCACAGAGGCTTAATATATCTTGGAGTTCAGAAAACTCAGCCTCTTTCCACCTTTAGCTCTACAAAGGAAAGCAGAACCTCTTGGTAAAGATGGTATTGGAAACGCTGAATGTAATGCAGTACCTCACCAGCCTGGTACCAGATGTGATGCCAGTGGCCACAGTGCCCATACTCCTCCTCATGTGCTTCCTCTTTCTAATATGGAATCATGAAGAAACATCATCAATACCAGGTAAACTAACCTTAGCTATGTATCCTCCAGAAGCTGTTAAAGCATTTCTCTTGTTTCTCAAATTTATGTGAGGAGGGAATGCTGAAAAATAATTGCGTGTCAGGGAAATTTAGTAAAACAATTTAAATAACATGGGTTTTTAAAAATATAACTGGAAAAAGAAAAATCTAACATGTTATATTTGAACTCAGACCTTCCATAATAAAGGTAGCTTGACTGTCTAAAAGCGACATTTAATTTTCTTTTTGCTTTGTTGTGTATATGCTAGAAAAGATGATATTTTAACTAAGTCTAGTTCATATTTTCATATGCATTTTGGACATCTACTTTTTACATGTTGTACATTTAATCCTTTTCAAACTGTCTTGACTGACAACAAAGAGTAATATCTGGGAAATTATTTGGATTTTATCAGTTTATCAATTTTTCTCCCTGTGTTTGGTACTGAAGATGCTCTATCACAAGAAAACATCAAATGGTTTCCCATTCAGAGGGGCACTGCTGTAATATTTTTGGGGAGTTATGGTAGGCATTACAGATTCAGCCTGTTCTCCAACAGATGCAATGTCCTGAACTACTCCATAAACGAGAAAAGTGCACACACCATGAAAGAGTGCAAAGAATAGTTAAAGATAATCCTAGCCAGTGATTTTAACCCAGTGTAGTGGCACATAAGTAAAATTAATGTGAAAGGAGATCATTTCCAAGCATCCTTCAATATGCGCTAATCCTTGTGAAGTTAGAGAAGAAAAAGCAGTCACGGAGGTTGTGCCATCTATCTGAATGTCTGATAGGTTCAATAAGAGAGAACTAAATGAATTTACCCTAATTCTATTAAACAAGGTATTTAAACAAGCCTGGGCTCTTCTGATTCTTAGTAGGAAAGGCTACAATCTTAAGCAGCTTGCAAATCTTTCGAACAATATTCGGTAGCCACTTTATTTAATGGAGATAGATGTATGTTTTACATATATCTTTCCATTTTCTTCCTTCTTGTAAGAGGGAAATTTGACATTCAGACATAGCAGAAGCAGCTGAGAACTTGGAGTAAATGCATATTATTCCATTCTTAACTCCTACTTTAGCATGCTATTTTCAGAAATTCACAGGACTAAAATGCATTTTCCTTTAAATATCCATTTTCTCATTCTGTCAATTATCATTAATAAATTAATTTTGGCGTTGGTCTAGATGATCTCTAGAGGTCCCTTCCTTAAGGATTCTATGAAATGCAATTAATTTACTTGCATCAAAAGGATATTGACTTTTATTGATATTACTACAGCAGGCCAATTCAGCCAAGCACGAATTTAGCCAAGATTGATCAAATGATTTGTTAGTCAGAAAGGAATAAACTATGTCATTTTTTTCTTCTTTTTGATATCTACCCATTACCCCTTCAAAAGTGAGCAATCTGACAGCAGCTGTTAGTTTTTTCCTCAAAAGAAACAAAGAACATAGTGTGCGTGGCGTGCACACTGAATAGACTTTAGGCTTCCATGGATATGAGGCTTGAACAATGTAGATGCAATTTTTTTCCAAGGCAGACCAGGCAATTTTACGTAAAGTGTCCAACACAGACCTTGACTGTAACATAAGAAAAATTCTTTGACAAAGGTGATGCACAGAGACATATTCTCATCACGGTGCACTGCTTAGACTATAATTTTGTTATCCTATTTCCTAGGGCCTGGGTACTGTATGGGCATCGGCCCTCTCATCTCACATGGCAGATTTCTTTGGATGGGAGTAGGTAATGCCTGCAACTATTACAATAAGACATATGGAGAATTTGTGAGAGTTTGGATCAGCGGTGAAGAAACATTTATAATTAGCAAGTAAATATATCTTTCTTTAATAATATGAGTTTTCTCACATTTTTGCTCTACTTTCTAAAGTAGAATTAACATTATTTTCAATAATCCTCTAAAATCTTTTATTTTCTGCTACTCACACATCTTTTTCTAATCTTTTATAATGAGTCAAATTTAAATCCATATGTATTCTCTCATTTTGTTAGTGGAACGGAAAAATTAAGCATTGCAGTCTCAATCACCCCTCCCCCTCAAAAATATTTAATGTCTGTTTCACTATTCCATGTAATATTAGGATTACACACTATAAAGGAACCTATACTGATTGACTGCAATGCAGGATTAATCCARGTTTTATTTTCTTTTGTTCTTATTTAGGTTCTCCTTAAAGTAAGAGTAATGCCTGAAGATTGTGGCTGTGGTTCAGTAAGGTGGTTAAGCAAATRCAGTATTATAGAATGCAAGAAACTGCATTGCAATTAATAAGGCTAAATCTTTGTATTTGTAACAAATCTGGATTTGGTCCACAGAGTATGCAATAAGGTATAGCAAGCGGCATGCTGTACAATTTTAATGCTCATCTGATTTTATTTCCTTTTTTAGCTTTAATTGGATCATGTTGTCATCAGATTAGCATTTCTAAGATGCTAGCTCCCTCTAAAGGAAATGATATTTTAAAACAGTAACGCTGGACACTGTTTATATGCACTTTGTCAAGTGCATATTTCTATTTCAGCAAATTTCTATTTCAGCAATATTTATGCCACATTTAATGTTTGATTAATGTATGAATAATTCTGTTTGTTAATATTAGGATACTGCATAAGAAATGATGCATGTATATTTGTTCTTTTTAAATGCACCTGAGAGTAAACAGCTAAAAAAATTTAATACATATGACAAAGTCTGTTATCAACTGTCAGCTTATTTAAAATTAAAGAACTCTGAGGTCTTATACAAATACTGAATATGTCAAGATGAACAGAATTTGTCTGTGCTTTTAAAAAAACTTAWGGGTTTAACTTAATGTTAACACATTCCTTAAAATCTGCCCACTTCCTGMCTGCAAGCAAGGAAAAAAATTGAAGTAACATCGCAGTACATCGAAGTAAGAGGTGTCATACTTTTGGACAAGATATTTGCAGCAAATTTGTATGTATGGATATGTATATGTATGGATATACCTTTTCTCACAAAATATTTGCCAGGGATAAGGGAAATTGGTAGTACACAGTGTTTAACACCTCTGGAAATGTTATATGTTAGTTAGGAAATCAACTGCACTGTTAGCATAAAAGGAATAGAAGCATATATTAACATTAAACACATCATCTTCAGTTACACTCTGTTATCATTTACAAAATATACGTATTAGACCTCACCTACAGTTCATAATATAATCTGTAATTTTCTATGGCAGTGGTTCTGACCTGGGGAGTACTTCTCTAGTGTTTTAGAATGTACACCAACTCTCAGGAGATTCGAATTCCCTATGGCTGCCAGAAAATGCCACGTGTATTAATGATGATATATATATATATATTTATTTATTTATTTTAACCCCATTTCTTCTCCAGATCCTCCAGTGTGTTCCATGTAATGAAACACTGGCACTATGTTTCTCGATTTGGGAGTAAACTGGGGTTACAGTGCATTGGCATGTATGAAAATGGGATAATATTTAATAACAATCCAGCACATTGGAAGGAAATTCGACCCTTTTTCACCAAAGGTAAATCAACATGCATTAATATATTGCATTATTTAAGCATACAGTCCATCTTACAGGAAAACACTGTTTGTTCTTTTCCTAATTACATTATTGAAAGTGGATCTCACAGAAATATTTTATTGCATGTRTTCCTTTGCACTTATTTTGCTTGGTATGTTACTTAAATTAGTCTTGAAATAGTTTTCAGATTTTAAAGATTAAAACTTCGGATTAAAACTAAAGTCTGAATAATTCCCATGTTTTCAAGCGTTTTAAAGTCTAGCATTCAACATTAGATCAAGTGACACTAATACAAATGATTCTGACTGACAGTTCCCATCCTCATTTCAAATGAGTTCAAAGAAATTTCTGTCTTGTTCTAATTGAARAAAAACATGCTTACAGTTTCAAAATGATTTTTAGTTTAGCACTACAGCACTATTTATTAATCCATTTAATACACTAGCAATTTAATACACTAGGAATTAATGTAGTAACAAGATTAAATARAAAATAAAAAGATTTATCTAATATACGTAATGAACTAGAACTTAAATACTACATAACAATTACAGTGTTACTATTTAAACCTGTAATTTCTGGACTCACCTGGGAATTTTCACTGTTTGCAGATCATTAGAATTAGTACTTTCAATGATCCAACATTTTTCCTTAAAAAACTGCCCCACTTAAATTACTTTGCTGTTCTGCAAACTTCACAGCACTGAAAAAAAAATTCTCATCAGCTGATGCTGCAGTAGTTTATGACAGCAGTTCTGGAACCTGCATAAGGAAAGTAAAATGGATAAGGTAAAGATTTTAAGACGTTAAAAATAAAGTCTTAAAGAAAATAAAAACCTGCTGTTTAAAGTTTTCCATATTACTTTGTTGTTGTCTGGGCTTCAGTTTAACACCTAGGCCTTTCCTACCTTAGTTTATTTTTGAAAAATATAAGAAATTTTGTGCTGATTGAAAACAAAAAACAAACAAACAAGACAAACACTTTTTTCTACCCATTCCTGGAATGACCAGTTTTCTCCTATTTGCAACATTAATCAGCTCAGTTACAAACACACAATACTTCTCTGTATATMTTTGCTAAAATAATATCCATGAGGCAACTACAGCAATTCTTACATGGAAAAGGAATTTAAATTGAGTATTTAGGGCAAGATTTCCCAAATCACTCAGAAACCATCTAAACCTGTTCCTGATGGAGTCTGTCATAACATCCCACGAAAATAAACAGCAGCAGAAGTGACTACYTTTTTGTTGTTGTTTTTATGTTCTTAAAATGTAAAAATATCACCACGACATTATCTCCATTGTTTATAGGTGGCCATAGTTGGCCAAAACACAACATACTGCCAGGCCAGAGTTCATTACATCCATATGGATTATAAGGCTTTACATTTTCTTGGCAACCTTATTTTCWGTAGGTAAGTTAATAGAAAAGTATGAAAATCCATCAGTCCTTTGATCATTCTGCGTATGCATTCCAGCTCTATCCGGTCCTGGTCTTGTGCGGATGATAGCGATTTGTGTTGAATCAACAACTAATCACCTRGACAAGCTGGAGGAGGTGACTACTGAAATGGGAAACATCAACGTGTTGAATCTTATGAGACGGATCATGCTCGACACATCTAACAAGCTCTTTCTAGGGATCCCTTTGGATGGTACTGGTAGCTTTATTCGTAYGGTTTGCTATGGATCTAAAGTGCAAATGCAAGCAAAACTTCTTTCACAACACTGAGTTTCAGGAAACGGCTCTTAGATTATCAAATAAGTGAAATCTATTTAATGTTAGATGATTCTAGTTGTAAAAGAATTTTATGTGATCAAAAATACCTATTCAGCTTTTCACACTCAAGTAAATAGTAGCATCTACAGAAATGTTTATGCACTCCAGTACAATCCCAGCATTACATGCATTAGTTAAATGTCTGCCTTGTTCACCTTACAGTTTTTCAATCTTCTATTCTTTTTACATTCTCAAAAGATTTGAGAGAATCTTAATCTTATCATGAGGTGCAGACTGCCATGTTTCAAGATGCTGCAACATAATTCTTCTGCACCCCTGTGGGAGGATTGGGCTCTGCTTGTCACACCACTCTCTCCTTTCAGTGCCAAACATGGGTTTTTACAAAGAGCTGTACTTTCTCTACAGTGTGCAACAAACGTTTCCTATCCTTATCTACCATATATTTAAACAAAATGCTTATCAAATTCTTATGCACTTAGTGGAGGCAGGAAGTAGTTTTCCTGAAGCAATTGTGTTATTTGGCTAATGAAGTTTACATTTTGCACTGCTGTTTGTTAACTTCTATTTTCAGAAAGTGCCATCGTGCTTAAGATTCAGAACTACTTTGATGCTTGGCAAGCACTTTTATTAAAGCCTGATATCTTTTTTAAGATCTCTTGGCTGTGCAAGAAATATGAAGAGGCAGTGTAAGTATCAGCAGTTATACAGACCTTTTGAGTACATTCTTTCTAGGAAAACTTTAATATCTTGCTCTCTTTCTTTAGAAAATAAATGAACTATGAAACTTGCAAAGGTGGCTGGCTAAAGTCCCCTTTATCTGCAGATCCAAGAGAGCAACAGAACAAGATTTGCAGCTGGTGCTACAAAGGGCTGATCTGAGCAAACGAGTTAAAGATTTGCCTATTCGGTCTAAACTTACCCACCAAAATATTAGTTAACGAAACTTCAAATGTTAAATCAAATTGAAATAATGGATTCCATTCAAACAGACAAGGAAAAGTCATCCTCTGGGGTAAAATTGCATTTTTGCTAACTAGTCAAGGAGAGTCAAGCGTAGGCATACATATTTGGAAACCATTTAACCTGAAATAGATTATCATGCTGAACATCAGCTTAACTCCAAAATGCATATTACAAACAACAAGCAGAATTACATCAAGGTGTTAACAAAGTTCTGTATGTTAGAAAAACTTTGGAAATAAAAAAAATCGCACCTGAATTCATAACACTGTCACAAAAGAGAGTAATCTATCTTCTACCGAAAGTGAACTGGCTATAAACAAGAAATGGCAATCACTTCATTCATTTTAGATTCAAAATCCATTTAGTTTGAGAAAATATTTGTTACAAAACATGTATAACAAATTGTTTGGACGTGACTATATAACATGAGGTATTTAAGAGAGAGAAGAAAGTGTATTGAAAGTGAAGTATAACTCCTTTATAAACAGGATTTACCTTCTCCCCCTAAAATTTCCTACACTATGGAAATAATCATTGCTTTATCTCATGCTTCTAATATTACCTCTGTTTGCCATTTATAACTGGAAAATATATAAGCAAATAGTTATATTTCAAAATCACCTTAAAATGGACGTATTAATTCCTGCTGCAAAAAAAGATCTTTAAAGTGAAGAAGAATCACAAATACCACAACTTCTGATAGGCTGCTGATAAAGTTAGGAAGAAAAACCACTCCATATTTCCAATGGATAAGAAATGAGTTATTTCAAATAACAACCTTGTAATGCTCGATGTTTTCAATGCACTTACTTCTATGAGAGCCAAAGATTTTACCCCAGMAACAAAAAAAGCACAAGAAATGAAAACCCTGAGGACAAAATACAGAGTAAATTGCTCTGTACCATCAATTAGTCTATATAGACTAATAGATTAAATCTACCATCGATACAATGGTTTTATTCCTGCATTTTTTCTAACAATTATCTTTCATATTCTCTATTATCACTAAGTGATAATAAAATATAGTAATCAATCTTAAACAACTTCTATTAATAGGATGTGCATTCATCCCTTTCAACGTATGCTATAAAAGGAGAATATGGCTTCTCTCCGTATAAAGAGAAATTCCTTGGGAAACACTTTTCTTCAAAGCTAACACAGGTCTTTGACTTTTTATTATAGGGTTCCTCTTACTTTTTGCTAGAATTATATGACCTGAAATTACTCAAGTTTTTATTGGCATAATCTCTAAGTTTATGATCATATTCTAGCAGATACTGAAAGTCTGAAAATATTTCTCAAAGGGGATTTTATCTGTTTTCAGCAAGGATTTGAAAGGAGCAATGGAAATCTTAATAGAACAGAAGCGACAAAAGCTCTCCACTGTTGATAAGTTAGACGATCACATGGACTTCGCATCCCAGCTGATTTTCGCACAGGTATTGGCAGTGAACTCCAAACACTGATAACTTTGAATTTCTAACATTCACCTGTCTATAAGAACACAYTGAGTTTAAGTTGCAAATCCTGTATCTATCTCAAAGTCACRTTATCTTCAAGAGATRCAAATTAATCAATTCTGGGGATAACATAAGAACAATTCAAACACTGAACAGTTGCAACTTCGGGAAGAAGTGCTGGTCTCRTTTTTAAATTTTCCTTTTTAAATAGTTTAAACTGTATTTAGATAGCCTATCCATACTTTCATTAAACTGTTCATTTTATCTTGGTATATCACCTTTTGTTCACAAGGCATCATATCATATGTAACCCTAACTCTACATAATCCCTGACAGCCCAAAAACCTTCCCTTGCAATTTAACAAATCGATAAGGATCTGAGCTAAGAAAAAAGCCCTTGCTTTTAAGTAAGGCCACATACACACCTATCAAAACATAGATTGATTTTCATTTTTTTCCTGTCTGAAAGACAAAAAGTAAATGCTAAGTGCCACATGACACTGAATAGCAGGATTTCAAGTTTTRTTTCAAGCATATATACTAGATCTTTCCCTTCCTACTGCTGTAAGGCCTTTTGTGGGAATCAGAAGTCAGTAACCAGTATTTTCCTCTTTTGATTTTTCAGAACCGCGGAGATCTGACTGCTGAGAATGTGAACCAGTGTGTGCTGGAGATGATGATCGCTGCTCCTGACACTCTCTCTGTAACTCTCTTCTTTATGCTAGTCCTGATTGCAGAGCACCCCACAGTGGAGGAGGAGATGATAAGAGAAATTGAAACTGTTACAGGTAAGCAGGAGCTGCCAAATTTGTGAGGCTACAACACAGCTTTGGTTCAGCAGTGACCTGATCTCGAGAAGTGGGAAGGACTTTTGGAGTTTCATTATTGACAAGAAAACAAGACAGGGACTCATAATGCATAAAAATGAAGAGCTCTAGAGCAGATCATAAGCTAAGTCAGGACCTATCCTAGTAAAGAATATAGCAGGTTTCCCTGGTATGTGAGCCCATACAAAGCTACTTGGAGTAGAACCTACACACTATTCAAAGAACTGACAATCTTCCAAAAATGGCTTGGTATTTGTATGACGAAGCTGTGAAATCCACAAACAACTTCTTCATTATCTGTTTTGTTCCTCAAGGTGACAGAGATGTACAGAGCGATGACATGCCAAACTTAAAAATTGTGGAGAATTTTATTTATGAGAGCATGAGATACCAGCCAGTTGTGGACTTGATCATGCGAAAAGCTTTACAAGATGACGTAATTGATGGCTATCCTGTGAAAAAGGGAACAAACATTATTCTCAATATCGGACGTATGCATAAGGTTGAATTCTTCCCAAAGCCAAATGAGTTCTCTCTTGAAAATTTTGAGAAGAACGTAAGCTTTGTGTCTTTTCTCTTATGGGAGATGGGGTATTATTTCTCCTGAAAAATGTATCTGTCTTCCTTTGTTTAAGTGCCTAGTTAGCTATACATCCTACATTTTTATTATTTCCTAAATGAAAAATAAACATCCCACATGGGCTGAAATGGAAGTTCTACTGAGTTCTAATCAGCTCAGTATGAAAGTGATGAGTAATTCAGTCACAGTACAGCACTTCTTCATATGAGTTTCATTCTAGGTCTCGACAACACCAGATCTCTCTCTCTCTCTCTCTCTCTCTCTTTTTTTTTTTTTTTTTTTTTTTTTAAGTCTATAGTACTTCATTTGGTTTTGAAGTCCTTTTCCTGTAACTCATCCTTCAGATTATTTTCTTTCATGCCGAACTTGGCTGTTAAGATCACTAACATTTCTTTTTCCCCAAAATGTATTTGTGCCTAACCAAAGAATTTGGAAATCATTTTGCTACCTGGCAACACAAGAAATGAAAAGATTTGATGCACCAAAAATGGGCTTACTGAAAAAATACTTAAGAGAATAAGTAAAATAAGAAWAAAAAAAAGATGTGAATTTATTGTTATTTAGAACAGCTTTAAGTTTTTACAATTTTCCTGCCAAGAGACACAGATACCATTCATGCTACACACACAGTCTGAACTAAAAAAGTTAACATTTCTATACTGCTAGCTGATTATCCATAGCAAATTGCACAAAGTACTAAGAACAACAAATCAGGAAAAAAAGACATTATATAAAATGCAGGAGGAGGATAAGTGATTAAGTTTCATTAAGCTAACTATTCACTGTGAATAATTTCCTCAGTTTTGCCCATTAATTTCATTCTAAGTATTTCTATCAAAATAGATTTCTTGCTTATTYTATATGCACACTTGGCTGCTAAAAATATTTCCCCTTGACCAAATATTTTACAATGCATTTTCTATCTGACTTGATGTATTCTATTTGCCACATAATTATTCCAGCAGGCACAATTTCCACTCAGTTCTCTAAGTGAATAGCAATCCACACTATTATTTATGATAAGATTGCATTGTTCGAATCTAAACATTTTTGCATTTTCCCAGGCTGTGCCTTTGCCATTGTGCTGTACCGCCAGCTGCTACGCTGCTTGGTGTTATGAACATTTGTATTTACCTATTATTCATCCAAAAGCATATCTCAATCTGTTACTTGAAGTAGTTTAAATGGAAGAGGTTTTTTTTTCCCCCTCAGACTGCAAAACAGAGAAAAATAAAAAAGTACAACCCTGCTAAATAATTCAGTACAAAACAACTTTTCCTACAAAATCCCYGAGTTAAAAGAAAGAACACAAATGAAGAATAGTTACAGTCAGACTTACTTKTTCTTATTCATAACAAGCAGCTTTCCTTTCAGCAGGCCTATTCACGTTGTTAGGACTGCCTTGGAGAAATGACCTATTCAACAGCAATAAAAGCAGCAGAAGTTGGCTGTGCAACCTTCAGTAATTTTGAGAATCCTGCATTGACATTTTAACTGATAGGACAGAAATTACAAACATTATCTATGCTAACATGCTAATTAACATTTTCTTCCTTATATTTTATGACAAATAAAATCACAGGCACACTCCATTTCTAGTGACAATGGTAGTATGGGTACAGTATGTATATAATTTTATAATTATCAGTGGACAAGGTAGCAGTCATCTTGGATGTTTATGGACTTTGTAGTGAACATTTTATGAATTACTTATGTTTTTAATTAACGTTACTGTGTGTTAAAGCTACTCTCCATCTCTCAGCTACTCGTGAGATCCCTTGAAGATCACTTGATGAACAGAGTGAGATGTACATGCAGAATTCAGCTGCTTAATTTTACATTTCCTGCTACCTTAGCACTGAAAACAGCAGGTGTCCTCTAAGCATTTCTGTATTTTGGCCYGACCTGCTTAAAAGGGGGTGTTGAAGCATGAAGGGTAAGAAAAAACAAAGCAACAGTACACGTGGCCAAGAAACAACCCAGGAATAAGCAGCAAAGTAATTGCTCTAAAGAGGTTTTTCCCACAAATTTTCTCAGAAAATAGTTAGTAGAGACTTTGATCATAAYTTGGCTATTTTTCTGAAGAAAAATTTGTTTTGATCCTCATTTTATTCTATGCAGGTTCCTTCACGCTACTTCCAGCCATTTGGATTTGGCCCTCGAGGATGTGTAGGAAAGTTTATTGCCATGGTAATGATGAAGGCGATTCTGGTAACACTTCTGAAACGGTGCCGAGTTCAGACAATGAAAGGAAGAGGCCTTAACAACATCCAGAAAACTAATGACTTGTCCATGCACCCAAAAGAAAGGCAGCCTTTTCTGGAGATGGTTTTCACACCAAGAAGCAGCACAAACAAGAATCAGGATGTTTAAAGTAGATCATCAGTAGGGTGAAAGCTATAGGGCTTTCTCAGCCTCAACCAGATTAAGAAATGCTCATTTTTCCTAGGAAAACATAAGGACAAAACTTYATGTTCACTCTAAGTCACTACTGCTGCAGGTGATCACCTGATCCACCTGCACAGCCAAACCTTGTTCTGGCCACAGSTTGAATACACTAAAGGATAACCAGATTCACAAAAAGCCCTGGTACCTGGCAATGTMGCACTGTATGCAAAAATCCACTAGGACTCTTTAAAATAATCAAGTTCAGGACAAGTTTTGCCTTGATTTTTAAAAATCACAAGGCCAGAAGTTTAGGATCTTATGGAAGCTACACACATATTTAGTTCCAGGACTGTATTTTCTTTCACTTCCAAAGCTGAATCTAGCAGTAGCTGATTACTACAAAAGTTCCAATCATCCATTTTCCAAAACATTTGAATGACCCACTCTAAAGATATCTTAGGTCTATGAAACTATTTTAAATGCATAAACCTATCATGCTGAAGCACAAGCATTAGCATATCTATAATGATTTCCTCTAAAAAGTATTTACAATATTTTGTAATATTTACAATATTTTAAAATATAAAAAGCTTGTACAAAAAGCCMTTCAAAACATTTTCACTACCATACTTTGCTGTCATATTAAATAGATACACAAGATTTACTGTGTTAGATATACTTTAGCAGTGATAGTAATTTTAAGAATGCTGAGGAACATAAAAGTCAAAATAACTGTTCCATGTTCCTAAAAACTCTAACCCCAGAGTCCTGCACAGAGGTTCTGTCACCATCTTCACTCCGCACTAGTGATGAGCAGCTGAGACTCAGGTCACGGATAGGAAGGACCACTGCCTGTGTTGCACRGGAATGAGGGCCCACAGCTCTGCAGTAGCTGGTTAACTAAAATTTCCCCTTCTCATCTTGSTTTGGGGAGAGAAGCTCAAGTTCTCCCTAAGTTTCCCAAGTATCACATTCTGTTTCCAGCTGGTTTAAATTGCTCAATTCTGCTTCAGAGAGTGAGACTTATGTTTGTAGCCTGCACTCCCACAACCATCTCCCTGCACTATAGCAGCAGGGAAGGTGCCTCCCTTGTTAACCACGTATTGCTTCTCCTGAAAATCACCAAGCTGGACCCTGCTCTCAAGTATCTTGTTCTTTACTCACTGAATAAACAGAACCAGTAATATGAAAGAGAAAAATAAAGGTCTACTGATGTAGACTTAACATTTTTAAAAGATTAAATGGGCTTCATTCAKCCAGTGAAGATACCAGTCTGAGGAGAAACTGCTCAGAGCTTTGTAGTGGCAACGGAGCAGAGTTCTAAAGCGATAAGGAGATTTTTAGCAAACATTTTTTGAAGAATTTTGCATACACAACTTTTTAGTAATTATTATTAGGCTTAATGTTAGATTTGGTTCATAATGGATTGCCTACATAATAACTCACATTTCTTGTAAACAGATCTATCTTGGAATCTTTCTGCTTATTTCACAATAAAAAAATGAAAAAATTACASTGAGTGATAATTTACTGTCTGATTTTTACATCCCAATTATAGATTTCATGGGTCTTTTTTTCTCAAATTGTTAAATTACTCTTTGTCAGTGAAATTTTAAAATAATTATACAAAATCATGTAGATAGCTGGAAAATGCATGCTGCTCTAATCTCTTTAATATCATGTATTGTAGAAATTATCAGTTGGAATTTCTGATTACTGTAATTATTCTATGGAAGAAAAAAAAGATTTTCATCTTTTTGTAAGCAAGAGTGAAAATTTTCCATCATATTCTTTTCAGTTAGTTTTGCAAATTGTGAACCTAGTCCTCAAATTCCTACAGTATCATTTTTGTTCACAACTGGACTTTGGACCTGTTCAACTAAGGCCAGTTCTTAGTGCCTATTACGTCTGTTAAGCAGTGGGTCTATCTAAACAAATATTTCTATTGTAAGGCCCAGTTCCTCTTCCCATTTGTTTGAAAACTACGAGTGGTGAAAGAGCTGTTGAACACTTGCTGTATTGTACATTACTGAGCTCCGATTTTAAGTAGTGTTTTATTATGAGATACTGTAAAAAGTTAAGTGAGTTTTAGAACACCATCAAGCCTATTATCCTTCAGTGTCTATTTCTATTCTCATAGCTCAAACTTGGTAACTGTTTTATACATCACTGATTATAGATGAGTAGCCCATAAATGTTGGACATGTTGGAAAATAATCATGAAATAAAACCTGTATACACAAAACCAACCAAGTCTTAAATTATTTGTTTTATATCTTCTCAAAATAAAAGTTACCAAAAATTTATTTAAATGAATGTGTGTGTACGCACAACCTGATRCTTAAAATATGAGCTGCAATGGATGAAATACCAGATCTCTTAGACAAATTTCCCGTCAAGTTTAGTATATCTTGAARTGCACAGATTTCTATTAGGAGCATGAATATAGAAATAGATTAACTAGCTTAAGTATATACCTAAGATTGCTTGGCCACGAATGCACTGTGGAATGACCTCATCAAATCTTTAAATAAGACAGAGGAATCTCTTCTAGTGACTCTGAGAACAATAGAGACCTGTAGACAGGCTAATAGTATGAACAGAGAAGTCTTGGCTTCCTGGAGGAAAAAAAAGTGAAATAATAACAATTACTTCATTTTACTTATATCATGACGGCATATTGCAATTTTGACAAATTTAGTAATTCAATATCTGCCCTTATCGATTTTATTCTTAATACATCCTCTCTTGCAAAGATTTCCTGTAAGAGTTCCAGAGTATGATAAACTCTAGCATTCTAAAGCATAAAATATCTTATTAAAAATATCTTATGTTTTTGTAGTAAACTAAATCACTACAAAGCCTGTAATTGATGTGGAAATAGATTTCACAAGATAAGCTTCCTGCATTAACAAAATAAATCTGCTGTTCCAACAAGATCTTATAGAGACAACAGATATATGCACAAAAGTTATTTTTATAAATTTCACAAAAAGTTATAATTTCACAAAAGGGATTTATGAGTAAATTTTGCACTCTGAATACAGCCCAGTAGATGGCACACACAGAAAATTTATTCATGCAACAAGAACAATTCCTCTATCAGTTAAAACCCTGCTGATACAAAAGCTAAAAGCCAGAGTCCCATGGTTTCAGTTAGTTATTAAAAACTGCTTTAGGAAGAGGTTACTACAAACCAGAGTCACTGGAAATGTAGATGTCAGGAGAAAATTAATGAGCAATAATACAGATAGAGGGTACTAAAATCATTATAATTCGTTTCAGTCCTACATTATTCTTCTCAGACACCAGCTTTTACTAGAGTTATCCCAGTCTACTTGACTGGAACCTGGATATATCAGAAACCAYGAAGACTTAATATGATGAGTTTGTATTAATCCACTTTCTCTCGATTCGATGTGCATATGCTATTTTATTGTTATTTGGCTAATTTAATTCAGTGGCTCTACAGTTCTCTTTCATGTCCATGAAATAGCAGAATCTTGGAAGGAAAGTTGACTTGCACCTTCTGACTGATTCTTACACGAGTAATGCAATGCTACACTTGGCCTCACTACCCTTCTACAATGGTTATAAACTCATCAGCCCAACAACTGACCAAATCTTCATAATTCATCTTTATTCTTTAAATAATTGCTGGACCAAATCAAGACCAGTCGGCTCAGCTGCGAAAAGGAAACATTTGGCAGAACATGCACAACTCCATTAACAAACTGCCTGATTAGCACCGAAAAGACCTCCCTTGGGATTTTAATAACTTTTTTCCTCTCTAGTTTCAAAGAGCTGATTAGCATCTACCTCAATGCTGTATGAATTTATTCTTACTTTCCAAAGATACGTACATGGGGTTGAATTTCATTCGCCACTTATCAGCTTTTGAAAGGTTCTTGGCAAGCCATTACAGATCAAAACATCTATATTCAGAAACTGCATCACCTAACACCTGTAGTTATATTTGTATTTATATTCACCCTTGTTCGCTCCAGCAAACATTAGAAGGATTTTTTTCAGCCTTAAATGATAGTT